ACTCTATAGGGGTGTTGTTTAATGGGTTTTGCGTCACCAACGTCTACATCATGAGGTGGAACCTTCGCTTCTTTGGGGACATCCCCAAAAATAGAGGGAAATGTCTCAAATAACTGAGACAATCTATGGCTTTCCTCTGTGGACAAATGCATAAGGTGGACATTCAAATTATCTAAAAAGGAAGAATTTACCAATTTTGGGGGTTTCAATTTATCATGTATCACATCATCAGAAACATTTGAACATACAGGTAAAGTAATTTTAGCTGTGGAATGAAAATTGTTACAATTATCATAATACTTTTTCAGTGAGTTGACATGATACACTGTCTGTTTCTTTCTTCTGTCGGGCGTATTGACAACATAGTTCAAATCACTTAATTTTGAATGCACAGTAAAGGGTCCACAATATCTCAAGGATAACGCATTGTTCAGATTAGGTACTAGCACAAGAACTTTGTCGCCTGGATTGAATGTTCGTTTACAAGAACTCTTATCATACAGTTCTTTCATTCTAACTTGGGCCTTTCTTAAGTTCTTGTGAGCCATTTCGCACACGGCTTTCAGTCGAACGTGAAAATCGTCGAAGTTTTCCACTGGATGATCACTGGTACCTGTCCAACGTTCGTGTATCAGCTTCAGGGGGCCACGGACAGAATGTCCAAACACAAGTTGAAAAGGCGAGTAGCCTAAAGAGTCCTGGACACAGTCCCTCGCGGCGAAAATAATCCAAGGAACAGACTCATCCCATTGGGTGTTACTGTTAGCGAATGTCCTTAGCATGGTTTTGAGGGTTTGGTGGAACCTCTCAAGTACGCCTTGAGACTGAGGGTGGTAGGCTGAGCTGGTGATGTGGGTAACGCCTAGCTTGGCTAGCGCTTCCTGAAAATGGTGACTGGTGAAGTTGCTGCCTTGATCTGTTTGCACGATTCTAGGTAATCCAAAGGTAGTGAAGAACCGGGTCATGGCTCTGACTACAGTCTTTGCCTTAATGTTCCGTAAGGGAATCGCCTCGGGAAAACGGGTACTTGAACACATAAAGGTAAGTAGGTACTCGTTGCCCGCCTTGGTTTTAGGCAAGGGACCTACACAGTCCATGACGATTTTAGAAAAAGGTTCTTCCAATACAGGAATCGGACTCAAAGGGGCCTTAGGAATTGTCTGGTTTGGCTTTCCGGCCAACTGACAGTTCGTGCAACTTCTACAGTAACGCGACACATCTTTTCTCATTTTGGGCCAAAAGAACAGTTCTTTGATCTTCGCCGTCGTTTTAGTGACACCTGGGTGCGCTGACATTGGATGGTCATGTGCCAGCTTAAGTATTTCATGCCGATAAGGTGGAGGGATCCACAGCTGGTTTTTACCCAACCATGGTTCGGCCGGTGAGGCAATCACTGGTATAGCGCGACGAAAGAAGAGGCCGTTCTCGGCGAAATATTCTCCATCGTCAGATGATAGAGATTTTTCGACCGCTGCTTTGAGTTCCGCGTCGACTTGTTGAGCTTTAATGATGTCTTCCTGAGATATTCTCAGGGGTAAGCCCAAGCTTGTGTTTTCTGGAAGCATAGACTCCAGTTTGGGAGTCGAATTTCTTGACGATGATGGCGGGTGTGGTTCAGACGTTGTGTCAGCCAATTGCTTGGTCTGGCTTCTTGTCACCGCACATGCAGGATACAGTTCATAATCATTATCTGGAACTGTTGACGAAGGGTCTGAAACCGTACAGGGGTATACTTTGCTTCCCGCAAGGTCATTCCCTAGAAGTAGGTGTACTCCTGGGACTGGAATACTATCTATCACACCTAAAATGACCTCACCTTCGACGAGATGATGTTTCAGGGCAAACTTGTGTAGAGGGACGACAGTAGATTTTGTCCCCACTCCCTGGATAATGGAAATCCTTCCGGTGTTCGTCTCTGGTGTAATGTCCATTGAACTTTTCAAAAGGAGTGATTGTGACGCTCCTGTGTCTCTTAGGACGGTGATATTCCGCTGAGACAACGGATCACCTGGTTTGCTAATGATGGCTTCGGCAATAAAAGATGAAAAGTCAACTTTTCTCGATCCCTCGAGATCGGTAGACTCGGAAGAAACTGGATGGTGGCGAGAACAGTCAAAATGTGACTGCACATAATGTGTGGAGACTTGACTACCTTCTTGCGGACACTTAGGGTTAGAGTCCTTTTGAATTCTAGAGTTCATAGTTGAACTGGCTGCTTGAGGGGCTAGAGCATAGTGCGCGGAAGTACGCACCACCTCTCTGTTATTCTGAAGACGTTTGTAACAGTCCTTGACAAGATGCCCAGACCTTTTGCAGTACTGGCATACCGCTCGACGATTGAGAGTTGATCTTGGTTTCTCTCTGGACTGTGATGCCTTCAAATGTTGGCCAACAGGATGATTGCTGCCAAAAAGGGGAAGCACGGGGTTGAGGCGGTCTCCTGACACTGGTGGTTTCTTATGCACCAACATATATGTGTCAGCCGACTCAGCAGCCTTCTGGATGTCAGTTATCTTGTTATCCAGAATGTGTAGTCGTATCTCTTCAGGCAGGGACGATAGGAATTCTTCCCTTAGGATAAGTGACCTGAGTTTCTCAAACTCAGAAACTTCCTCAGAGTGTAGCCACCTTGAGAATATTTTCTCCTTTTCAAAGAGAAATTCCACATATGATTGTGTGGGTAACTTGCGGAGTGTTCGGAATTTTGTCCGATAGGCCTCGGGCGTCAGTGCGTAGGCCTTTAAAATGGCAGTCTTGACCAAACTATAGTTATTTTGAACGTCGTGAGAGAGTGCCTGGTATGTTTTTGCAGCTTTCCCAGTAAGGACAGAGCTCAATAAAGCAGTAATGGAAGTTTCGGGCCATTCACATGTCTTCGCTAAACTCTCAAACGAGTTAAAGAAAACGACCAAATCTGTTTCATCAAATTTAGGAACTAATTTCCCAAATTTGGCAATCACTTGCCCTACCGACAACTTTTTTGGATCTACCAGAGAAGTAACATCACTAACTTGACCAAACTCTAATTCCAACCTCCTCTTATCTAAAGCAATTTTAGCCTCTATCTCCTGTTTCTCTAAAGCAACTTTCTCCTTCTCTAGAGCAATTTTAGTTTCAAACTCCTTTTCTTTTAAAGCCTTCTCTAAAGCAACTTTCTCCTTCTCTAAAGCAATTCTAGCTTCTAATTCTACCTTCTCTAGAGTTTTCTCCTCGCGGAGTAACACATCCGCCAACAAACTTTCATCAAATACTCCTTCATTAATGAAATGAACAACAATTTTATCTCTCAACACTTCTGACTTCTGCGTAACAGAATAATCCAATTTCAATTCCTTAACAACACTAACCAAAACTTTTCTACTCAACTTTTCTACATCTTCAACAGTTGGATTAGCCAAAAAAGACTCCATAACACTAACTTGAAAATCACAACAAGCCTAGATTCTTTAAATTAATACACAGCGTTGGGCCGTGTACTTGACCTCTAAATGTAGGACGTGACACGTCTGCTTATTTGACCTAGATACTCTAGCCTGAGCGCGCGTTGTAAGAACACTGCGCTACTGGATATAAAAACAACTAAATCCAACTAACCTTAGTATTCAACTGATATAACCAACAACTGGAACGACAGATTAAATCTCGGCGAGCTCCCACTTTGTAACGTTAACCTATCTATCAGCCAAATAGAAGGAGAACGTCCCCGGATTCTTTTTTCGGGGTCATATGCAAATGCCTTACGGCCTAAGTGGATGAACACTTAACACAACGACCCACTAGGGCTCGAATTTAATGTCTAGGGAAGCTAGTGATACTATTGTAATTAACACTCATCCAATCTACATACGACCTTTTAATCAGCGAACACAGTTGTGGCAGAACACAAAGATGAACTAGATAAAATATTTAATGTATAAAATATCAAAAACCCAACTTACAAAATGCAGGAAAAAAAACACTATCACAGATTTCTACACTGTCTAAAGAACAGCTACAGGCCACACAACACTGCTGTAGCTTCAAGACTTACTTAGCGACAAGTAATATTAAACTAGAAGACTAAATCAACTTAAGAAAGCAAGGCACACACAGGTCTTAAGTACTCTCACGTTCAAATGGTCAGAGTCTATAGCCGGACAAAATGGACGGCTGCCTGACCAAGGTAAAACTGCCTCGTAGACTGCCAGGTCAAGATAAACTGCCTCGTGTTGCGAGTGTGCAGTGCAATTAAAGACTTCTGTGACAGGGGAGGTTATCCTCAACTCATGTCGCCATTGGTTGGGATAATCATCTGATCAGAATCATTCAATCAGATTTTAATGGAAAATTTCTATGTCTCAAACACCTTAATAAGTCAGTGGAAAAACCCCAGGTGTTACACCATCATTCCATATAAGGAATTATACAATGTCAAAATAAAAATGACTCGACCTAAGTAGGTCACATATATATATATATATATATATATATATATATATATATTGCAATATATATATATATATATATATATATATAGTGCTATATATATATATATATATATATATATATATATATATATATATATATATATATATATATATATATATATAGTGCTATATATATATATATATATATATATATATATATATATATATATATATATATATATATATATATATATATTGCAATATATATATAGTGCAAAATATATACATATATATTTAATGCAATATATATATATAGTATATATAGTATATATATATATAGTAGATTATATAAAGTTTCTTTGTGCTACGTATATTTCCCCTATAAATAATTACATTCATTTGAAGTTGTGTTATTTTAAAAGATTTTTAAATTCAGAAATCCCCAGTGTCAGAAAAAGAATACAATGAGTTGTTATTTTATCAGCTCTACGGAATAATGATCACAAATGTACTTTTTGTTTTGGCTGAAGTACTAGAATTTGATATCAGATGTTGTACTTTAAATAAAAATATTTAAATAACCAAATTTTTCAGGGCTTTCACAAAAGTGTATTCATTTGGACCAACATTTAGAGCTGAAAATACTATTGGTAGTTTTCATCTCTCAGAATTTTATATGGTTGAAGCTGAATTAGCATTTATTCAGAATATGGATGCCCTATCAACAGTAAGCAGATTATTTAAAATTTTACCTATTAACACTAATTGGCAAATCATTATTCTTTTTAAAGCTAACCTAATGTTTATAAAATCTTAATTTTAAACTATTAAATGCCTACATTATACAATATATTCTGTCTAGCTGAGACTTGGACAAAACCATTAATTGGTCAGAAGAGAATAGCAAAAGCTGTTATGACGCACAAAAACAAATTTAGTTCTTTAGGTACACCATACATTTCTTGTAAATATTTGCCACTGATTACTTAATAGTTTTATAATTTACATTCTTATTGTTTTTTCCTCACTACAATACATAAATAATTATAATGTGATTGTAAATTATAATTCATTGACATTGAGTTATTGCTTTTGAAACTCTTTTTATTTTTAATTTAAAAAACAAAAAACTTAATCTAGAAACATTCATAGTTGGCATAAAATTTAGCAGGCACATAGATCTATATACATTTTGTCTCTAATGAAATATTGTGTATTTTTGAGCGTGAAAATATTGTGGACATTTTTCTGATAAAATATACATATATAATTTGAAAACAAATGTAGTTTTTATATTCACTGGATTTTGTATCCTTCATACAATATAGTTAGAAGTTGATGAATACCTTGTATAAACTATTTTGATGTCAAATTTATAATGTTTACATATTTTAAAATTTACGTTAGAAATGAGGGATTGTTCACATATATTTATTTTTTTTTTTTATAGGTAATGGAACAGCTTGTAAAATATATTTTCAATGCAGTTTTGAAAAAATGCCCAGAAGATGTTGAAATATTTTCAAAGAATGTTGCAGATCCAGAATATATGGTAATGTGAAAAAAAAGATTATAAGCTCCTATGCACTATTATATTTAGATAGTGGAAAATCAAAATAAGTGCATGGTGTTTGGAATATATTTTCTTTTATATTAGTTGTCAATAGGTTAAATATTTTGAATTATTAAACAGAATATTTTCCGTTCAAATGAGTCACATATAAATAAATATACCTTTTTTAAACCTGAAAGTATTTTTCTAAAATTGTGACATAAATAGTCCATGGTTTATTTTTACAAAACAATTTTGAGCAATCTGACAGATTATTGTTGTTCTAAGTAGGTATTATTTAATATAATATAAAACTTATAAGCATCTTGGAATTTATTCTAGTAAGAGGTATTTAAATATGTACAGTGGTACCTTGACATAAGAGTATTCTGATATACGAGATTTTTGAGATACGAGCTGTCGAGCGAGTTAAAATTTGCTCCTAAACAAGAGCAAAATTTAAGATACGAGTAACCGGATTAGCGGGTTCAACTGTTCATGGGAAAGCAACCCCCAGTAAAAGTTGCGGCTGATTGTATATGACTAACGTATTTCTGAAACATTCTGTAAGTGAGGAAAAACATACCTCCTTAGACAGCTTCAATTTAACGGCCTGCCCAAAAAGTGGAGATGGTGTGGAAAGCATGGAAAAGAAAGCAAAACCCAATTGAGAGAATAGCAGTAATGAAAATTAAGTGAAAGTAACAAAATCATACAGTAATATTTTGGTTCAATTGTGTGTGTGAGTTCCTTTGATTTGGGATAAAGTTTAACATTATGAGTGTAATGAGTACGTGAATTAAAGCTTAGCATTAACAATGAGTTAGTGAACTAAGTGAAGCTCCTCCGCCTATCTTCTCCACCCTAAACTGGGCCTACACCTCAGTCCGAATGAAAAATAATTTTATAGAAAATATACTTAAATCTATTAGACTGTTGTCTTTTTTAAGCTTTACAAACAATTTGACATTCAGTCCATCTTGTTACGCACACTTGTTTCAATCAGGTTGCTGGAAATAGATGTTAGTTTACCTTTGAATTTTCAAGCAAAGTTTGTCATTTTGGTGTGTTTATAAAAGTTTTATGAGCTACCAAAAATTTCCGTACAGTCAGTAGTTCGCAGGCATAAAAAATAGTCATATTTAGACTGAGATTCACTTAATAGCCAAATAAAATTTCTCAGCAACATATTGTGGCACATGTAGTCAACCACTCATTGCTGCAACTGCATCTTATGTCTTTGGCCTATCGTAAAATCGGTCTATGTGTATATTTGCTAGAAAGTCAATTGAAACATTTGCAAGTCCTTTTAGGTGCATCACACTTACAAACTATAGAATTTTTTCTCTTATTTTCTTTATGTTGTTATCATAGTGGTGAACACATAACAAAATTGCTCTATACCAGCTATATCATTACTTTCATCGGCTATGGCAGAAAGTAATTTCACAGAAGTAATTTTCAAAACAATCTTTTGAACAACTAATTTGTTGCACACATTCTGAATAGTGGAAGCCCATGGCTCTGTATCACAAATGTGCTTCAAAATTTCCATTATCAGTCATGATTCTCCAACTGAAACTTAACGAAATCCCCATGCCACTGAAGTGCAATACAGTTGTGGCAGCAAAAAAGTATTGTTTTGATTATAGGCACTATTCTTAAATCATTGTCTAGAGTTTGTTAACTTATGGATGAGTTCAAGGCGATATTAATAGGTTCAAGTAATCCCCACGCCACTGACCCATAGTATTAGCTCTTGGGAGCAGCTCTTCCGATATTTCAATTTTTTTTTACAGCAACCTCCTTAAGCTCCTTAAGTTTTATGATAATTGGATGAATTATATAGTAAGGCTGAAATGACAAATAGTACCTCGAGATACTAGTTTTATTTGTTCCATGACAATTGCTCTTATCTCAAAACAATTTTCTACATCAAAATTAGGCCTAATTGAAATGTTATTTATACGTTCGAAGCCCCAAATACCATCAAATTGGTTTTAATAAGAAAAGTTTATTTATACATGACAAAAATATTGTTTAATAACATGATTTAGGATAATGCAAATAAACAAACTGGTTTTATAAAGTTTATTTATTTGAAACTCATTGACTTGAGCTTATTAAAGCTGTTAGTTGGAGGTGTAGGCCCAGTGTAGGGTGGAGGAGGTAGGCGGAGGAGCTTTGCTTTGTTCACTTACAGTTAATGCTAAGCGCTTTCAGTCATTTTAATTCACTTACTTGTTACACAATTTAAACTACACTGAAAATAATTGAACCTAAATGTTACTATATATTGTTTTTTGACTTTCTCTTAGTTTTTGCCAATGCTTTTCTCTTCTCTGGTCTTTGCTTTTTTTGCCACGCTTTCCTCACTTTTCTGCGCAGGCCTTAAAATAAACCTGTCCAAGGAGGTCTGTTCTTTCTCTCTTTCAGAATTAAGTTTCATTAAATAGCTCTTATGCACAATCAGTAGCATCTTATTATAGGTGTTAAACCCTCTATTCTGGTTGCTTGTATCTAAAATTTACTTCCAATGTCAAAATTTAGCTTCCTCAACAGCTGGTATTTTAAAAAAATGTATATGTCAGGGCACTCATATGTCGAGGTTCCACTGTATTGCTTCCCTAAACCATACTGTTCCAACTCCACTTTTCAAAATTGTTTGTAACAAGGCTTAAATTTGTTTTCCTCAACATTTCTATAATAATCAAAGATATGTCCATGACATTTTTTGCCATGATGCCACAATGGGTTAGAACAATGGTATATACATAAAAAATAAAAAGTAAGGACAGTTTGGTTGTAGGTAAGTGGTATAAAGTAAATACATTTTTTGTATGGCAAACATATGCAAAGTCTGTAGTGTGAACAATAACAGTAAAAGCAAATTGTGTAAAATGCTAGACTAATTTCATCATTTATTTAGTATACGCATCTGTAAATTATCATGCCATTGAATACATGAGTAATAATACATTTTTTTGTGCTAGTTTTCTTTCCTGAAAAGAATTTGAGTCAACTCGTCTACGTACATATTTGTGTTGAGATTCCATGAGCATAGAATTTTAGATCAACATCTCTGTGATAAACCTCTATAAAGATATAAATTAAAAAAAAAAAATTGCACTTTTAGACAGTGTTAAAGAAATTGTAAAATTCCAGCTCTTAAAATCATAACTTTTTCTACTTAATCTGATATATGAACAGATTTAGTATTCACAATCTTAGTATCCTGAGATCTGAATTTAACAGCTTTAAAAAAAGCTTTTTGAAAAATCTTTTTTAGGTAACGATATCTAATTTAATCTTATTTAAAAATATAAAACTTTAGCTTAAGAATCATTCAAATTTAATTATATTCTTAATTACTTTGATTTTATTTTAATTTAGAAAAAGGTAAAGAATATAATGGAGTCAAACTATGAAAGGTGATTTTTTTTTTTAAAACAATTTTTGTTGAGTTATTCCTAAACTTTAAGGTTTGGCCAACTCTGTATTAAGTAAAATGTTAATCCACTTATTTTTATAGCTTTCAAAATCAAAATAATCTTGTTTTTTACAGAATGACATACACCGAAGCCATTGCGCTTCTGGAAAATTCAGATGAAAAGTTTGATTATCCTTGTCAGGTTCATGTCTTTTATATAATATATTATTTTTTATATCATATTTTAAAATTTTACTAGTGTGGCCATCCTCGCGGGGCTACAAGAAATTCTGACAAAATATTTCAAGAGGGTTTCATCAATGCGTTACCAATCTTAGAGGCATGACCTGATTTTCTACAACTGAGTTATTTAAATATAAAGAAATGCCTGCGCTACATTTCTTAAATCATTGGTCGGAGCAGGGGTTTGCCTACACTACAGCCTAGCATGCCCCAGGGTGTGGTGTATGAAAGCCGTGAATGTAATTTAATCACTCTCAGTAGTAGTGAGTTAAAACACACTTCAGCGATCGCCCAGGTGTCAGTGACGTAGCAGGGGACTCTCAGGAGCCCCCAGTTTCACTTCCACTACCCCAGGTGTGCTCGTTTTAATCAAAATGTGCCACTGTGTCAATATTATGGTGTACTTCATAAAACTAACATCCTAATATATATAAGCCCATGTGTGCACTTCTCTCTGTCCGCAATATTTTTGGCAACGTCTAGAGCATGTTCAGCTATATATGGAGAGCTTAAAGATGCTGACTTTTGTTGAAAATAATTTGGTGGACAGTTTAAATGTATAAACTAAATTTTCTTTAAAGAAGGAAAATAAAAATAAAAGGATATTCGAATGTAGCAACAGATTTCTAACTAAAGTGTTTATTGTTGTGACAAGAATGTATTAAACAATGACGTCACATGTCATAAGTTTACACTAAGGAAAGAACACAAAACTAATGGCATCATCTTTCAATTTTAGAATATAAAGAAATGAACTATTTCATTCAAATTTGATTTAGATCTACATACGTTATGAAATGTATACAATCCTTAATTATTTTATATAAATCTTTGTTGGCTTCGCTATGGATTTGGCTAATTTGGGATAAAATTTAATTGGCAATAATAGGGCCTATTCGCGTAACTTAAGTTTCTATCACGGACTCTCTATGTAAACTACATCTCTTATTTTATATCTGTTCGGAACTTCCCTGATAGCTGAGTTGATAGAGTAATAGTTACAATGCGGGTAACTATCACTGTAAATGTAAATTTTTTTTTAGATGTGAATGATAAAGTTGCCTATTGGGACTTGGCGCAACACAGGGCAGGTGAAGTAGAGTTTACCCGTATCTGTCTTCTCAGCATATGAAGCGATAGTGTGGTCAGACCCATGCTCAGCCGAAATAGGTGTTTTTAAAAGGCTAAAACATCAAAACTACCATTTAACAGCCGGGTTTTTAACAATCATTTAAGTCTCTTAATTTTAAACCTCTTAATCAGCGTGCGCATTTAACATGGTGTTGATTAATAATGTATATAATTTGGTTCTAATTTTTCTCTTAGGTATTAGTAGTCTATGTTATTTTTAACAAGTATAAACATACATCATACATAAAACAAAACCCCTTCTTTTAGTTTTTTTTTTTCAATGTTTCATTTCAATGCTCCTGATCAATAACATTTTTCTTTTTTTAATTTTCCGATAATGACTTTTTTTAAAGCTGAATTACAATTCATTTTATTACCCACTTTCCGTAGATACATAGTTTCTTCAGGCGTCTTTAATGGCTAGTAGGTGTCATAGTGCTCATGGGATAGCCCAGGGTGCCAAATCGCACAATACTGAGGCACAGGCGGAACGACTATAATACCACACATTATTCATAGCCTAACGCACTGTTATATGAACATCGGCGCTGTAGTGCTCATAGGTGAGCAGAGGACTCGTCTGATTCTATATAGTTAAGGATTGTTGCCCATCGTGTCTTTAGTATATAGACTTTTTTTTTTATGAATGCAGGCGCCATAGTGCTCGCAGGGGATCTTCTGTAAATGTAATCACTTGACATAAATTGTACCCTCCCGAGTGCCGGCAGTAAGAATTTTTTTTTCTGCAGAAACCTTCTTGGTAGTATTCTCAGGAACTCCTCAAAGTTTCAGAGCACTCTGATAAACCACATCTGACTTTTACTGTTCGTATACTGTATATAGAGTAAAATTGCACCCTCCTGGGGTGCTGCTCTTTCGAAATTAAAAAGATTTTTTTTTGCAGAAACCTTCTCTAGAGTGTTCTAATCAACTTCCCATAGTTTGATGGCGATCGGATAAACGGTGTCAAACCGCAATAGACTTTATGTTCATATACCTTATATAGAGACGAATATAATCAAATCTTGCCGGGGCACCAACCCTGCAAATTTGATTTTTTTTCTTCGCAGAAACCTCCCCAGAAGTATTCTCAACAACTACTTAAAGATTCATGGCGATCTGATGAAAGGTGTAGTAATGCATAAAAAGCAGACAAGCACAAAAACACACACACACTCACATACATTGCTTTATATACATATATATACATATACATATATATATATATACATATATATATATATATATATATATATATATATATATATATATATATATATATATATACATATATATATATATATATATACATATATATATATATTTATTTATATACATATACATATATATTTATATACATATATATATATATATATATATATATATATATATATATATATATATATATATATATATATATATATATATAGATATATATATATATATATAGATATATATATATATATATATAGATATATATATATATATATATATATATATATATATATATATATATATATATATATTGATATATTGACATAGTGAAAAAGGCTGAATATCACGACTATTTTTTTTCTACAGTATATTTTTAAATTTCATTGTAATGGTATCATTGATAAGACTAATAATGATAAAAATGGTTTTCTTCTACAGTGGGGTTGTGATTTAAAAAAAGAACACGAGATGTACTTGACAAAAGCTGTTGGAAATCTTCCTGTTTTTATAACAGATTATCCTGCTGATATTAAACCATTTTATGCTAGGCGAAATGATGATGGATTGACTGTAAATAATTTTTTTAAATGGATACATGCAAAATAATTCCTAACAAATCACACCTTGCCTGCTTCTTAATCTTATGGGGAAAAAACCAGTGTGCAACCTGTAATTTATAAGTTTTATGCAAAGATATATGTATTTTTCAAAAGTATTGCACGGTAACAAAGCAGCGCAGCTTAGAGGGAACTTGGGTCACTTAATGGTGAGCACTGTGTTGTGTGTAACTCTTGCCCCTTTGAGAAAAGTCACGTCCAGGCTGTTTTTATTCTATTAGTGCTCTTTTTTAACATATTATTTTAACATGCTGATTGTTTTAGGCTTGAGACTCTGAGGCATGCATTATTTTTGTATTATGAAGGTGGAAGAGGGTTATAAAATTATTAATGTAGTATAAGATTAAAAAACTAATAAGACTGTAAGTAGTGTAATGCTATCGTATTTAGGTTAATTCAATTTATTTTTTTTAAAATGTCCGGAAATGTTATACAAACCTGGAAATTTCTCTCTCTCCCCCCCCCCCCCCCCCCCACTTGGAAAAAAAATTATGGTTTTTACTTTTTTATGCAGGTGTATCTCTGTTCTAAGCTTACATAAAAAAAAAATGTTGCTTTAAAATCTCTTTTCCAGGTATCTGCTTTAGATCTGCTGGTTCCAGGAATAGGAGAGCTTTGTGGGAGCAGTTTAAGGGAAGAAAGAGCAGAAATACTTGAAAGTGTTATGAAAAAACAAAATCTTGTAGAACTCCTTCCTTGGTAAAAAAAAAAAAAAACAACACAACACATTTTAATTAAACAGAATTATTTTTTAGCTAAGTTTTAACAACTTTTCTGAAATCTTTGTAATTATTAGTAACTATTTTGTACTATTTAGGAATGAATATTGATTTTTAATAAGTTAAAAAATATCATTTTTAATAACCCAAAACATTGGCAATAGCAGAAAAAGGTCATGAGAAGAATCAATAGCTTAATGTATAACTAGGCATACTGCCTAGCTTTGCTTAGATTTTAAAATAAAGATATTGAGAATTTGAATGATTAATTAATTGGTGATATGCTATTATGTGGAGTTCTTAGGGCCTAAGTTTAAAGAGACTTTAGTAATTTCTTGTCATGCTAACATGGATGAAGTATTCGCAAGCTTATAACTCGCAAGATTATTAGAACTGTAAAGGCTTACTAAATAGAATAACCAAAAAAATATAATAATTTCAGTTTCGCTATCATTTTTTTCCATTTTTATTACAATAAGTACTTTAATTAATAACAAAATATCTATTTATACGAATACTGTACGTTGTAATTTTTGTTCTTTCTTTAAAATAGTATAAAGAGTTTGTTGATGTTTTCACAAATAATTGTTTATATAAGAAAATACGTCTCCTTGTCGAAAAAACTAACGTCCATAAAAGGTTTTTCCGACGGGAATAAAGTTTTTTGTTACCCTGCAGTGTCGGTCTATGACCTCACAAAATATTAGGGGGGGGGGGGTCGTTCGTCAATTTTTCAAGGGGGTCGTTCGGCAAGAAATTTTTTCGTTATATAGCTCAAATAAGGAGATTTTCACTCACGGTCATGTTTTATACATTGTTGAGGGCTTTGAGTCAAACCGACTGTTTTCCTAAAAGGTTAATCCATTTACCTAGGTGCATGCCAAAAATTAGCTAGATGTACTAAAAGTAAGTGCCCTGAAATCTTTGTTGAAATGACCCTCTGTTTTTCCCATAAAATACAAAGATTATATAGGGAAATACAACTGGTCAGTTTTGACCCACTTGCAGATTTTTCCCGGATATGCCTAGTTTTTTTTGACACCCCTAGGCGATCTCCTACCACTTCACAAAATATCAAGGGGGGGGGGGTCGTTCGGCAAAAGTTTTTTCCGTAATCTAGCCCATATAAGGCGCCGGTCAGTCGAGGTCAGTTTTGACCCCCTCTCCATGGACTTTTTGGCGGACCGTCACCGGCCCTCGTGTTCTATCACCTCAAGGCATCATCGTGCCAAATTTGACGTGCCTGCGGCGCCGGGAAGTGCCCTATTGGGCACCTGACCACTTTGCTTTATATATATAGATATAGATATGACCAAATGAGTAGATAAAATAATGGCTTATAAATTCAAATTAATGGTTTAATTCGTTTTAAATGTGAATCTAAGCTAAACATTTTATTCATGGTTCATGTGGTTATGCATATTTTGAGTTAAAAAAATGAAAGATCAAACAAGACCTTTCCTGACTCACTGTGGGCAGATAAATGAAATTAATAAAGTTGTACATCTTGAAATGAAAATCTTTTTAAATTGTTACATCATACTGAACTATATTGATTTAACATACTCATAAATAATGTATGGTAAATAAATAGAAAACACTGCTCACATATTGAAACTTTGTTTAAGGGTCAGCCATTTATGATGTCCACACTGGTGGAGTAAGGGGGGGGGGGGGGTCTGTAAAAAATTGACTGTTGTGGGGGGGGGGGGGGGGAGTTTTTTTTTTGGGTCAATGTGGATGTCCACATGTTGAATTTTACATCAAAGTAATTTCATTTGAATTTTAATTATTAGAAAAAAACTGAATTAAATTGGCAGTTCTTGTGTTTAACAAATACCAGCTCGATTGGGGAATAAATATTATATCAGAGATGTAACTTTATACTGCCCAACAAAAAAAGCTGCACATTGACTGCTGCAATTCTCTACAACAATTCACAGTATTTCAAGTTTATCTTTAAACATTTCAAAGAATTGAAACATAAGTTTAAAAACAATGAGATCTAGTTCAAGTGCTCAACATTTAGGGACTAATTTATACTAATTTGTTTAAAATATTTTTTTTCAACATATTCTGGGCTCTACTTGTAATATTTAGTGAAGATGTTTCTGAAAATATCAAATTTTTAGCAAAACAAGGTACACAATGCATGTTTGGCAGCATGGTTTGAGAAAGATTTACTACATTTTTGTGGACATCAACATGGGGGGGGGGGGGGTTGTTGTCAAAAATGGAGGGTCATAAATGGATGGTGACCCCTTATTTCAAATGGTTTGTACAGAAATTAAATGCTGGAATCAACTAATTGTTAAATTGTGCTCAACTTATCTGATGTGAAGAGATATCAATCCTGGACTTTTAATATATTGGAGATGAATTTAAAAAATGATCTTTTGAATTTGATCCTGTAGACATGTCTGTTAAAATGTACAAGGTTTCAGTTAGTTTTTTCAACACAAACATCTGGAATTAAAGTAGATAGAAGCCACCACCAATTTTTTGGATCACATGCTGATTACAACCCACATTCATATGATCAGCTCCACCATTATTTTTTTTTCTTTACTTATAGCATGGGATGACATGGGACTGTTCCATTTAAGTATTCTTACTTTCCTTTTAATGATGGGCTTTATTTAAAGGAAAGGAACATAAATAATTAGAAGCCATTGTTCATAAAACATACCAGGTTTTTCATGGGGATATTCAAGAGTGCCAGTTTCTTTGATATTCTGCAATCTTCTTTACAGTCATGAAAAAAAAGACTTAAATATAAATTGTAAGGAGGGCATTCCTGAAGAAAAGGCACTAGGTTCTTGACACCAAAAAAAAAATCCTCTTCTACTGAGTTTCTGCTTGAGCATCTGCATGCTGAGGGTTGGACAGCATGTTTTAACGCAATAGCCATAACCCACTTCTTGATTACGAAATTGGATGCAATTTATTCCATTGTTCATAGGGAATATAATCATAATTAATACTCTAGAATATTTAAAACTTCTTAAGAAAATAAAACTGTTTTTTTAATATTAGAAAAAATGTCCAAGAAATGTATACTATCTCAAAATTAACTTAGAAATAGTAATTGATTGTAATGAATAACCATTAAGTAAACATGAGTATTTGTACAAAGATCTAATAAAAGGGATGTGTTTGTGCAACAACTTTCACAGTAATTCCATTCTTTATCTACTTGTGCAACCTGAATGTATTCAACAGTTATGTGCAATTAATATATCATGGTGCAATTACTTGAAAATAAATATTTTTTATCCTTGCAGGTATTTGGAGTTGCGTAAATTTGGTTCCTGTCCTCATGGTGGTTTTGGTTTAGGATTCGAGAGACTTTTACAGGTAGAAATATTTTGGCTACAGAATATTTTTTTTGATGAACTAGAGTTGTTAACATACTGTCAAAAAGTGTTACTTTGAAAAGAAAAACCCTTTTTTATTTCTAGGACTTAATTTTACATTAATTTTCTTAGACCCCCATCCCCCACCATCTAGCTAATAGCAACAGACATTTTGCCACAGCTTTAACAATATTTGTGCTTCCATTAATATGGAAGGGCTTAATACCAGAAAGGCCTATATATATGTATATACAATTTTTTTGTACCCCCGCCTCTGAGGGTACCAACTGCTTATTTTCTCACGTGTTTTCAAAATGCTGGCCATTTGATAAAGTATATTTCTTTTTCAGGTGATGCTGGGTGTAGAAAGCATAAAGGATGTTATACCTTTTCCTAGATGGCCTAATAATTGCAAAACATAATTTAAATATTGTTTGTTTTTGCAACTACTTCAACTAGTTTACTTTAATGTTAAATAAAAGTCCTAATAACCAAGTATTATTCGCTTTCCTTTACATTCAGAGTTTTTGCCAGTTTAGTTTCAATGTTTAAAATGTTAATTTTATGAATAAAATAAAACAATTCTCAAATAAATTAAACAAATATAAAAGTTTTAAAAGACCTTTTTTTAAAAGAGCTCATAAAAATGCACTAAAAATAAGAAGAAAATCCAATCTGCTTTCTTTAAATTATTAATAAAAGCGTTACTTTCTAAGAAATGTATGCGATTTTATTATTGTATTATATTACTTATTTTCAGTGCATTTTAAAAGTAAGTCAATATTTAAAAACACACCGTAGGCCTACTTTTTTTTTGCATTTAGTTTGTTCTTAATCCAATCAACTATACATAAGACTTCACTTCCTTTTTACCATCGACTGGAGAATTCAGTGGATTCTGTGGAAACAACTTGAAGACTTTGACAAAGCAGACGTCTTCTCTCCACTCCCACAAACAACAGGAGACGAGGGAGAAAACAAATATGGTAGCAAAGTCAACGCTGGCTGGAAGCAATATCCACAAGCAAAAGACCACAAATATATTGAAAATTAAGACTACCACACTACCAGCACTGATAAGTCACATTTAATTTGAGGCCCCCAGGAGGACAGACAGTCCTTACTGTGGACCATTATGGCAGAACAGGTGTAGAAGAAAGGATTGGAAAAAAAAAAGCAACCTGTGCACATCTAAGGAACTTATTGAAAAACCTGGTGACAAGACCATGATGCTAAACTATAATAAACCGGGAGTGATCTCCCCTAAACTTTCTCGAATATTCTTATATAAAATAACAGGGGATGGAACTCGGGCTATAGACATGATTTTTAAAGTTTTAAAAATAGAATAAAATCTCGTAGACAAATTAATTGCACACCAAGTGAACGCCAAATAAAAAAGCGCATAATGGTGCGCAATATTATTATTACTTTTAAAATTTACATTAGTTTTTTGAGAAATCGGAAGTAGCGTAAAGTACTACTTCCAGTCAACGGAAATGACTCAAAATTTAATAGAAGGTAGAGACTTAGATCTTTTACTTACATATGAAATTTCATTTATCTATCTGAAATAGTACTCAAGTTATAGGCTTTTGAAAAATTCAAAGTAGGAAAAGTACCACTTCCGGATATCGGAAAGCGCTCAAAAGTTGATACGGATCTACGATTTTGATTAAATACTTATATATGAAATTTCATCAACCTAGCTGTAACGGTACTCAAGTTATCGTGTTTACACACTGACAGACAGACAGACATACGGACAAGATTGCAAAATTATGTTTTTCCGTATCAGTGAGGTGTGAAACGTCGAGATTTGTAAAAATCTCGATTTTTTTTTTTTGCACGATTACAAGACTTTCTCTATACTTCGTATATACGAGAAAGTAAAAATGGGTTACAACAAAGGTTGAGAAAATGGCACAGGACAGAAGACTGCAGAGATCCAATTGGTAGGCAGCCCACACCCCAATAGGGGTGATGGTAACATGACAATAAAATTATTTGCTTAAAAACCCCATCAGTAGCCTTTGATCTTCAAAACAATTATCTGTCCATGTTCATCAACAGTGGTGTGTCAAACTAACCATCCATTCAACGCAATTGGCTAGTACTTATCTTATAAATTTTAATTCAATTGTGACTATCTCTCCAATGAGATACTAATTACAATTGTCTTTGGTGACAATGCATGAATATCTGAAAAGTTTGAACGAAATAGTTGGGTCAAAACTGAGGTAGAAGATTTGATAAGAGCTTTTGTGTTCTAGTAAAACCTACTTACTTGCACTGCAGGATTTAATTTTTCTTTATAATAGTTGCAGGCAACAAATGTTGATTTCATTTCAATTACTGTCATGATTTTAAAAATAAAACTGCACTTAAATGTGTATACACAACTATGAAAAAATGATTAATAGAAAAATGTGGAAAAGATATTTTTAATAGTCATATGATATTGTGCAATTAAACGGCATAGACCACAAGAAGAATCTTATTTATTATTTTCACTGAGTTTTCTTTTTTCCTCAGCATCCTGGTATTGATCTGCAAAATAGTAAAGCATAATCGGTTTAGAATGGTCTATTAATAGCAATAATTTAGTGGAGCTCTCTAAACTTACTTCCGTGCAAAAAGGCTATTATGATTAATTAGTAAAATGATTTATTGTTTCTGTGATATCTATCTATCTATCTATCTATCTATCTATCTATCTATCTATCTATCTATCTATCTATCTATCTATCTATCTATCTATCTATCTATCTATCTATCTATCTAAATATACATTATATATACATATATAAATAAATATATAAATCATAGTATGTGTGTCTGTCCTTTATGAATTACTACACCTCTCATCCAATCGCCATGTAATGTAACTTTAGGGAGTTGCTAAGAGGTCACTGCGAAAAAAAAATTCAATTTTGCAGGGATGACATCAAAATGGAGAGATTGCATGAAATCATCCATTTATGGCTCTTGAAATATGTACCCATGGGCAAACAAAGTGGTAGCTGATGGTCATACTTTTCAATAGGTTACAAAATGGCATCAATTTGCAACAAATGTTATCACTAAGTTGAAATTCAAAGTGACTATTACAAATAGCAGATTTTTTTTTACAAAATTTGTATATTGTCCAAGCTACTGCAATTCAAATTAAATCAAATAAATGGACAACATAGGCCCTTGTGATAAATACCCACTCAGTGTTGGGCCCAATTGTGTGAACCAAACAAAAACTATTATGCGAGGTGCGATAACATGTTGGATGGGAAAACACCATTTATAAAAAACTAGCGTGCCCGTCCGCACATGGCCGCAATCCCAGAATAAAGTATGACATATTTTAAGAGTGTTTGATCAGTGAGTTACCAATCCTATATTTTTAGACGTGTGACCTTATTTTCTAAAACCGAGTTATTTAAATGTAAACGATGCCTGCGTTGTATATCTTGGATCATATTTTTCGAGGCACGGGTTTATTTACACAATCCGCCCAGCAAGCCCCAGGGCATTGTGTATGAGTGTACATTAATTATTGTGATGTAGAACACACTTCAGCGACCGCCCAGGTGTCAAGGACATAGCAGGGCGCTGTCGGTAGCCCCCAATTACACTACCGCAGGGGCAGCGCATACTGCCCCTGGATCAGTTTAATCATCGAATGTCATGTGCCACAGTTTCAATATTGTAGGGTGCTCCTTAATACTAACATAGGCACATTTATTGTTTTGTATACAATTATTGCATAATTTATAACCAAATAATGTTCTCTAAATTTATTTCTACAGAGTATGCCCATTTGTGAAAAATGATGAAACTCCTCAGAACCTTCTCAATTGTCTACACCAAGGTCTTCTTTAGCTTCAACAGAATGATCAGTACCAGTAAACAGCAAATGTTCCACCATTTGCTGATCCTAGGAGAGAAGCCAAACATCAGAGGCAGCCATTGGAGTATTTCAACGACATCTTTATAGACATTCTGTGTTCGGACAATTGTTTATCAATTTAACCTGTACTGTCCTCTAACATGTCTTTTAGCACTGGATAAAGATTATTCCAGGAAATTGGATTTTACATAAACATTGTAAAAAATTCCTAGATGCCGAGTGTATTGGAGCCTTGCCACCAAGTGTGTGACGGTCACATACGTCATGACCATCCACAGATTCAAGCAGATTAAGAATAATCTACACCTGTCAAACTATGTTCTCAACAGGACATAAACAATCCACTAGTACTGGATAAAGATGAACAAAAACATCTCCTGGAAATTGTGTTTTACATAAACATTATAAAAAACATAGATTCCAAAGGTATTGGTGCCTTGCCACCTAATGTGTTACTGTCACAGACATAACCATCAATAGATTCAAGTGGATTAAGAATTAGCTACACCTGTCAAACAATGTTCAAAGGGCAGAAGAAGTTGACCAATATCGGAATTCTGTGCTTATCAAACCCCATGCCATCTGAGATTCTAAGTATTGATGAGCAAATTGTATTGTAGGCAAAAACAGTCCAACCTACAACCATAAAAAGCCATATAGATGGCCTAAAAAGTTTTTGTTGTGTCCAACAACTGTTATATAATCCAAGATTTTGAAGGGCATACAGGTAAAGCTACAAAGGGACAAGAGGACATTGGTGCTGTTGCTAATATTGAGGGGATATTATTACAGTGTGTTCACCAATATGTTGGGCTCAAGATTTACATAGACAATTGGTTCTTCATCATTTAGTTGCAGGCTGTCCTGCACCAACAATGCACAGAAGTTTTTATTTGTTGTATAGCAAACAAAAAAATATGCAAATACATTTTTTACTATAAACCTGCATGTAATTTTTCAGTTGTTTTTTTCTCTTTCAGTTTACATGTTTTTACTTTTGTTTTCACCATAAATAAACTTACATCTTACTAATGTTACCCTCATATCATTTTTACCGTTATTTTCATTTCTATCAACAATTCTATATTAAATTTTGTTTTCTATTTTATGGAAAAGTTTGACAGTTGCGCATAGTTGCAGAATTGCAACAACCAAAATTGTTGTGATATTTATCATCTATTAAAAATTTTTTTTCCTACATCTCGAGTTAGTCCATTTGCTGTAGGAATAAGAAACAAATTTATTTTACCAACTAAACCAATAATTCATGCATTATAGGGAGAAATAGCACAGAGTGCCAAATTGCACCGTGCCGGAGGACGCGCCTGATTATGTTTAGTGAATGACTCTAATACCACATCTTATGCTTAGTGTTCACTGGATAGTCTGGGGCCCAAATTGCAACATGCCGGGGCGTCGGCAAATGCGCCTGATTTAATTTAGTGAACGACTATAACGTCTCATGTTATCCATAGTCTATCTCACTGTTTAAAGCTAACGTATGTGCCATAGCGCTCAAGGAAAAGACCGGTGCCGTGGGGCAATTCAGAACCCCCAACTGTACACTTCTGCCAGGCACCACTGATATGGTGTCTGATTCCATTTAGTCAACAAATAAAGTAACGCACCCTATCCACAGTGTATGGCACTAATGGATGTAGACGCACCGGGTCATATAACCACTGGGGTGCCAAAGGACTCCAATGGTAAATTTAGTTGATGATTATAGTAGCCCACTATTTCCAGAGGGTGTGGCGCTGGTTAAAACTAATGTAGGCGTCATAGTGCTCATGGCGAACTTGGTCATGCGACTGGCAGAGGATGTCTCTGGTGCAGTTTGACTGTTAAATCAAGTAGCACCCTGACCTTCTGTGCAAGATGCCCAATTAAAAAACTCTAGGTGCCCAGATAACCACTGATAGCCATTAAATTTAAAAAAAAAAAAAAGCACTGCTCTTCGATTTACATTTTAAATGCAGCTTGTTTTAAAAATTATTAATTTTGCTTGGATCTAGTTATAAGAAAAGTGCTGTCAAATATGATTTAAAAAAAAAAGGAAAGCAACATTAGTTGCAGGGTACATTCTCTATATGGCAGAAACCTTGGCAAGAGACTTGCTATTATCTTCCCAAAGTTTCAAGGCAATCGGAGGAACATTGTGGTAATGCATTAAAGACACATAAATTTACTTTGATTTTCTATTCCTATAAATTGAATATATATATGTATATATATACACATATAAACACTTTGAGCTCAGTAGTATTTATTAGCACATCAGTTTACCTTTCGAAGCTTCCAATAGCATCAGTTAATTTATGCCGCATCATAAAATTTGCCAAAATGTCAGCAACCTTGAAAAAGGACAAAATGGAAAGTGATTTCTTCTATAATCTATAGTAATAAAGTTAACAGAATATTAAGAACAGATATTATTTCTTTCTCAGTACTTACTTTTTAAAGTGAATTTATAAAGAATCTAAAAGAAATTGTTACCCTCTCTGGTACATCTTCATGGACAGCATGGCCACATTGAGGAAGTAAATTCATTTGAAACTTTCCTGTTTAAAAACAAAAGGTATGTGTATTTATTTTCAAATATACTTCTTATTGTATTAATTCGGTTTTGATATTAAACCCTTAAATTTTAGTAGGAAAGCTGGAACGTGGTATCTTATTTAATCTTAAATAAATGCATTTTATTTTAAAAGACTAACGCAATTTTTTCCCCCTACAAGCAGGTGATTAACAAGATCTAGTTTTAATTTTTGAGTTTTTAAATTATTAAGTGAATTTTATTTACTAGCTGGTCTAGATTTAAAAAAAAAACAAGCACCACTATTTAATTTACATTTTATTTGCAGCTTATTTTAAAATCATTAATTATGTTTGGATCTAGTTATAATGAAGTAATTGTCTAATACAATACAAAAAAATGGAAATGATCGCAGAATGAATTGCCTTCACCCACCAGAAGTGCATTAATTTACAAAAAAATAGAGAGTAAATTTTTTGAATGTAAGTCATACTATAGAGTTCAGTGAATACTATATCTGGATAAGTTAGCGAGGTGTGCATTTTTGGAAATATGTCACAATTGAATGGTTTTTATTTTTAGATTGAATTAAAACGTTTTAAGGTTTTATCTCTGATTGAAAACTTTAGAGATCTAATAAGTTGCCTAAATCTGATATGCACAAAACAATTTGATTGTTTAAGAAAAGCCTGGATTTGGGATCTTTAGTAGTAATTACATATGATGTACTATGGCAACAGACAAACCAACTGCCAGCTGATGAAGAGATCTTCCAGAGAAAATAAAGATAGATTAGCTACACACTCAGGAAGCCTTTATCCAGCATAAAAAGACCAGCTCTCAACTGGAATCCACAGGGCAAGATGAAAAGGGGCTGATCAAGGAAGACCTGAATGTTCTCCCCAAAGTTTGAGGGCGATCGGATGAATGGTGTGAAACCACAATCGACTTTTATATTTTTATATACTGTATAATAATAAAAATAGAGAAAAATCAAAAATCGCGCCCAGATATAGATAGATATAGATATAACAATTAGGTGCAACTGGTCTTTAAAAATATCTTTTAGAGAAAACACATAAAAGCAAATGGTTCCTAAAATATGTTACTTACAAAAGTATGATATAAATTTAAAAAAATAGCATAAAGTACTACTTCCCCAGTCAACTTCCACTTACAGGAATTGGTTAATAGATGCAATGTAAAACTTAAAGGGGAAATTTTCTTAAAAAATTTGTAAAGGAAGGCCTACTCAATGATTGTGTTCACAGGCAGACACATACATAAAGTGACAAAATTGCAAAACTAATTTTTTTTTTATTTGGGGAGGTGTTAAGCGTCAACATTTATCAAAATCTCCATTTAAACTTTTTGCAGGATTACAATGACATTAATTGCACGATTATAATACTTCATCTATACTCAGTATAAGAGAAAGTAAAAAGATTCCAAGAAATTGGTAAATTCTGATGTTTTTCAAATTTTTAGTAATAAAACAAAATTTTAAAAAAGCCATAAATTGTATTGTTTTTTTCTGGTTTCCACAAAAAAGTGTAAACATTGTGTAACTAGGTAGTGCTGTAAAAACTTATTAGAAATATTTACCAGAAAAACTTTGATTAAAACGTGGAGGGGGAATGCAGGAGAGCTACAGTAATGTAATTCCTGATCTGCTTATAATATATAGCCAATAAAAGTTTGTCTAACTAATGATGTGATACATTAACTTATTATAAATAGAAATGTAGTTTTTTAAAATAAGGCAGTTTGTTTTAGATTGTTTTTACAAACACAGAAAAATTGTTAAAAATGTCACCAAAAAAGAGTTGCTAATTTTTTTTTTAGAAATATGTAATGGTTAATGAAATGTGTATGTTAATATGACCCGTCAAATCAACCCCCCGACAAAACGACCCAGTCAAAATAGTCCAGTCAAAAGGGCCCGACTTATTGGCTTCCGTCAAATGGGCTCCCGTCATATTGACTTGCGACATATAGGTTCTCGACAAATGGGCTCCCGACATTTAGGCTCCCAACAAATGGGCTCACGACATATTGGCTCCAGACAAATGAATCATATGACCACTATTGGCATAAAAGTAACCATTTTGTCCTACTTCCACTACAACCTCTTTTAAATGCCTGAATGAAATTGGTTTTCATTTCACAAACAGATCAAGCCCTTAACAGCTAAATTCCACCAATTCTAAAGTACTGCAGGTAGGAATGTTCAGCTTGGACCCATCTCCCAACATAATGAGTTAGAACAGCCTATAACCAACTCATTTATGGAAGTCATAGATAGATGACCTTTAAATTAAACATACTATTTCTTCTAATAGATAAACTATTATAAGAATAAGGCCTACTGAACAAGAAATGCATATGTAGTATTACTTACGAGTGTTGGATATGTTAACTCTAAAAAATATTGATGAAGGGGTCGCACTGGCAGGTATCATATTCAATGAGACCATTTTGTCGGGAAGCTTAGTCTCTACGGAAACCGTACCGTCAGTTTTTGCCAAATTGACAGGAGCCTATTTGTTGTGAGCCAAAACGACGTGAGCCTATTTGTCGGGGGCCGTTTTGTCAAGAAACTAAATGTCGGGAGCCTATATGTCGGGAGACTGTTTGTCGCGAGCCTTATTGACTGGAGCCCTGTTGTTGGGAACCTATATGATGGGAGCCTATTTGTTGGGAGCCTATATGACAGGGTCCATATCTCGCTGGCCCTTTTTCACTGGGCTCTTATGTCAGGGCACTTTCATCGGGGCTGTTTTGACAGGGCTGTTCTGTCATTGGCCGTTTTGACGCCGCACTGTTTACAAGTCTATCGAAGTCTTTATTAAAGTAGGCGTTTTGATGCCGTATTATATATATATATATATATATATATATATATATATATATATATATATATATATATATATATATATATAATTACAAACCTTGCATTTGTCCAATAGTTAAGTCTTTGTCTAATCTATCTGGACCTAAAAATAAATTTTAGAAAAGGAAGGGTAAGTCATTTTTATAGTAAATGTTGATATACATATTTGACATTTTAGACAAGTATTAAGATTCCCAAAAAATAAGCTATTGCAATACCTAATTTTGCTTAATCAAAATAATAATAAGAACAGTTTTCTAAGTCCAGTTGTGTGTAAGTTTAAATGCACAGGTGAAAAGGTAAACAGCACTTGATAAAAGAAAGAAATAGGCAGAAGAAAAAAGATACCATTAAGGACATTTCAGATATATTCTTTAAACACTGTTGAACCCATTAGAATTTACACACACACAAGGAAACATTTTGTCACAAAAAAAGTAACAATCATTTTGGTAAAGATCATTTTAGTTATAACTTTTATATCAATAGTTTAACCAATACCCTGTGCAAGGGTTTTCTCCAACATAAAAGTATTTATTTAAAGTCATTTGATTAAGTAGATGTTACCTGCAAGTATGAGAATTTTTGGTGCTTCACAAGACAAAAACTTTTGTGATAGTCCTTCAAACCATCCTTAAAAAAAATAAAGAAAAGTCTATTTTCTAAAATTTAAAAGTTCTAAAACTAAAAAGTTTTCTTAAAACTATAAAATTTAAATCACAAATAAACCGGGAGTGATCTCCCCTAAACTTTCTCGAATATTCTTATATAACTTGGAATATAGACATGATTTTTAATTACTTAAACTTTTAAAAATAGAATAGAATCTCATAGAAAAAAGAATTGCCAAATGAACGCCCAAACAAAATGTGCATAATAGTGCGCAATATTATTAGTACTTTATAAATTTACATGCGTTTTTTGAGATATAGGCTTTTGAAAAATTCAAAGTAGAAAAAGTACCACTTCCGGTTATCGGAAATCGCTCAAAAGTTGATCAGGATCTACGATTTTGATAAAATACTTATATATGAAATTTCTCCAAACCAGCTGTAACGGTACTCATGTTATCATGTTTACACACAGACAGACAGACACACACACAGACAGACATACGGACAAGATTGCAAAATTATGTTTTTCCATATCAGTGATGTGTAAAAAGTCGAGATTTGTAAAAATCTCGATTTTTTTTTTTTTGCACGATTACAAGACTTTCTCTATACTTCGTATATACGAGAAAGTAAAAAAAGGTAACAAACCAGGATGATCTCCCCTGAACTTTATTGAATATTCTTATATAACACTACGGAGGATGGCACCTCAGGATATAGATATGATTTTTAATCCATTTTTAATTACTTAAACTTTTTAAAATAAAATAGAATCTCGTAGAAAAAAGAATTGCGCCCCGAGTGAAAGGCAAAAAATCTGTGTATAATAGTGCGGAATATTATTAGTACCTAATAAATTCACATGCGTTTTTTGAAAAATCAGAGGTAGCGTAAATTACTACTTCCGGTCAAAGGAAAATTACTGACATTTTGACAAAAAGCAGAGAATTAGATCTTTTACTTATAGGTGAAATTTCATTTATCTATCTAAAACAGTACTCAAGTTATAGGCTTTTGAAAAATTGAAAGTAGGATAAGTGCCACTTCCAGTTACAGGAAATAGCTGAAAAGTTGATACAGAACTACAAATTTGATGTAATACTTATATATAAAATTTCATCAACCTAGCTGTAATGGTACTTAAGTTATTGTGTTCACAGACACACATACACATACATACGGACAAGATTGCAAAATTATGTTTTTCCGACTCAGGGAGGTGTAAAACGATTTTTTTTTGCACGATTACAATACTTTCTCTATACTTTGTATACGAGAAAGTAAAAAGTACTGGAAATAATGGTTGGAAAAGGATACATTTTAAAAATGTACGTATTTTGAAATTCAAGTCATTTTTCAACTTGTATAGTTGTACTTTATTGTGACTACTAATCTTTGGGGTTGTTAGTACGCCCTACAAACTCTTCCTGCCCCACCCCCAACAATTGTCATTTCATATTAAGTTACTGCTGTTAAAAGCAGCAGTTAGGTTAGACAGGCATGTTAAATGTAGCAGAAAGAGGTAGAGAACAATTGAGTGCAGAGATCATGGGAGGATCTGATAAGTTTGATGAGAGAAAGTGGGTTCACTTTCAAGGATACTGTAAGGCCACACATCACAGAGCATGATTGAATACAGAGATAAGAGAACAGTAGCAGTAGAATGTGAGCAATATGGAGAAAAACAGTGTGACATTGGAGGTCTGTTGTTTTTTGTTATTTTTGGAACATACACATATTTATGGGGAAAGTATATTTGCTTAGAACTCAATAATGAGCATGTGGTTTTCACAAACTTAAATATTTCTGTCAAAAGGTTTTTTTAAAAAGGTATAGGCTTAAACAAATTGCCCACCTTGCCAAAACTTCTCTGTCTGAGATAAATCAATCCTCCAAGTGTAGCTATTCTGTTTCTGAAAAATATTAACTATTTTAAAATTTATTTATACTTAAACTTATCAAAATAGAATAGAATCTCACAGAAAAAAAAATTGCACAAAAATTGAACAGCAAACAATGTATATAAACATAACAATTAGTGTATAACTCAAAATTTGACAGAAGGCATCGAAATAGATCTTTTACTTATATGTGAAATTTCTTTTATCTACCTGTAACAGTATATAGGCTTTTGAATAAACAAAAGTAGAATAAGTTCCACTTCCGGTTACCAGAAATTGCTGATAATTTTATATAATACTTAGGAAATTTCATCAACCTAGTTGTGACAGTACTCAAGTTACCCTGTTCACAGACATACACACACAAAATTGCAAACCAATGTTTTTCCGACTCAGGGAGGTGATTTTAGATTTTTTTGCACCATTACAATACTTCAAACTCCGCCATTGTCTGGTCCCAAGTCCAGAATGAGAAAGGAGGAGGGCTTGGTTTTTTACCCACCATGTAAAAACAAAAACGCTACGGAAACAGATCTAAATCAAACCATCATGGGAGAGCAACCGAGGATTGAGGCAGCTTTGCCTGATATGACGAGTCTAGATGAAAGAACAAGAAATAATAGAAGCTATACAAAAAACAAAAAGCAATAAGGCTCCAGGAGAGGACAGAATCACTGCGGAGATGCTAAAGGCAGACCCAAAAATAGGTGCAGAAACTCTATCAGGGATCTTCAATAAAGTACGGAATGAAGAAAAAGTCCCAGATTCTTGGAAACTGGGAATCATTATCAAATTACCCAAAAAGGGCGACCTTAATGTTTGTGAGAACTGGAGAGGCATTAATCTTCTGTCAGTACCAGGAAAAATCTTCCGCAGAGTCTTATTACAAAGTGTAACAACATGAACTTCATTGTTGTTATTGTGGGTTCTTCAATATACTCACACGAGCAACAGTAGTTGTGAAACTATAACTTTATTTACACTTTATACACTACAGTGAAATGATGAATCCATAGTATTAGTAAATCCATAGATAAACAACTAGTATAATTTGGTATAAGTACAATCACAGTCACGAATCAAAGTGACGTAGTGACATCCTACATTCACAGTCACAGTCCAAACGCAAGCACCCCCGTTCACCTTTCGCTCTACCTTTTATACGGTCCATTCTCTCCCCTTACGTACATGAGCGATCTCACCCAAAAGCATGGGAAAATACATGACGAGTCGCTCAGACAGTCCTTCCGCTAGCCAGGTATTCTTCATTCATGCAACTTCATGTAAAACACAATATAATATAAACATACCTAATTATACAGTCTGTGACACAAAGAATGAGGAAAGGAATTGATGGGATCCTTCGTGAAGAACAAGCTGGCTTCAGGGCCAACAAGTCATGTAACGACCAAATATTTGTCTTGCGCACTATAGTGGAACAGTCCCTGGAGAGGAATTCGTCTCTCTACATCATTTCGAGAAAGCATTTGATAGCATCCACCATTATGGAAGATACTAGAGCTATATGGCTTTCCAGGAAAAGTCATAAACATACTTAAGGACAACCAATGCTGTGTGCGACATGAAAATCAGCAAAGTGAATGGTTCAAGGTAAAAACAGGAGTCAGACAGGGCTGTGTCATCTCACCTGTCATCTTTTTGGTGGAAATAGACTGGATTATGAGAAGAGCCACTGAGAATAAGCCAAGAGGAATTGTTTGGGAACTTACCAACCACCTAGAGGACTGTGGCTTTGCTGATGACTTGGCTTTACTCTCACATGCCCAAAAAGACATCAAAGCAAAAACCACAAAAATAAAAAAAATAAAGATAAACTCCGGAAAAACCAAGCTAATGAAAATAAAAACCAAAAGTGCTCTCAAGACCTTTGCGAATGGAGCAGAGCTAGAAGAGGTCGAAGACTTTAAGTACCTGGGCAGCTATATATCAGCAAATGGCAGCATGTAGAAAGAAATGGCCACCAGAATAGCAATGGCAGCATAAGCTTTCAACAGACTTGCTAAGATCTGGAAATCATCCTCACTGCAGCAGAGAACTAAAATAAGGATCTACAAGTCTAATGTACGATCTGTACTCCTCTATGCTGCAGAGTTATGGAAACTAAACAAGAAAGGAGAGAGCCGACTCAGAGGATTTGAAAGAAGATCCCTCCAACGTATTCTCAGAATAAAGTGGGACGACAAAGTCCCGAACAAGGAAATATGGCGAAGGACTAGACTAAACGACATTGTTTCAGAAGTTCGAATGAGGAGATGGAGATGGCTGGGCCATGTCCTACGCATGAGCAAAAGAAGACTCCCCAACATGGCGCTGAAGTGTAATCCGCCTGGAAAGCGAAAGACAGGAAGACCACTGGGAACATGGAGGAGAGAGATGGAAGAAGAAGTGCAGGCTACTGGTAAGACCTGGCATGAACTAAAGTGGCTTGCCCAAGACAGAGTGGAATGGCGGAGATTTGTTGTTGCCCTATACTCCACAGGGAGTGATGAGGATTAAGTAAGTACAATATTTCAACTATACCTCATATAAGAGAAAGTAATAAACAAAACCAAGTCACAGAAAACAATACTGAGAAGTAAATTGCATGATCAGTAAGGGTTAAAAAAAATGACAAAATACAGTTCATCCATGAGTTGACAGGGGGCAGAAATTGAAGTGGGGTAAGGTAACATGAGACTCTATGAATTAACCAGGAACCACTCTCAAGCAAAAACATTAATCTCAACAAATGAAGAATAAAAAGGTAAAAGAACAGAGAGACTGATGGGTCCATCAACAGAGAAGATTGTAAACCACATGGCATGAAAATCCACTGTATAGTTGCTGAACTATTTCCACTAACTTTTCAGGTACACCATAGTGTCTCAATAGATTCCTTATTGTTTGCCTATCCACACTATCAAAGGGCTTAAGTTCTCACAGGGTTCCTACACCAAAGTGAACTAAAAATTCCAGGAGTTTTTCAGGAGAAAAAACAAAATTTCAGGACATAATTTAGTGACTCACCCTGCGCTGAATGGAAGGAAGTTTGACATTTCTCAAATAGGAAGTGGTCTTTATAAAATGCTATGAAGCATAGCAGTTGTTATTTTTAAAAAGTAACTGTTTCTAAACCATTTGGTTGAGTTAAAGTAGATTCAATTTTGCGCCCCACCCCTGCCATTTATAATTAATTTATGGACCTCTCAAATACCTTTGAGACTTTCTCTCTGGTGTCCATTAAATTTTATTACAAAATTAGACCTCTATTCGATTCAAAATATACCAATAATAAATTTAAAAATTGACCTTATAATAAAAAAATGTAATTGTCTCTAAGATCTAGAATCTAGCTCTAGATTCTTATCATTTTATTTAGCAAATGAAATTAACTGAAATTAAAATAGATCGTATTACTAGAGTTAGATCTAGAATCTGCTACTTATATTAAATTTTAAAAGTAGTTGATATTTTTGTTGTAGAAGGCTTTAACAAATTACTTAGGTCTACTTACTATAATTACAGTAATATGAATCTGATACTGAATTGGGTAATCTATCGTTTTAGGTACGTAAAATCGCCCACGACTAGTAATGTGAAAAACAGGTGACTCCTTAAATTTTAATAATTATTTCACATTTTGAGGAGCATTTATGTTTTGAAAAATACAAAAATGTTTCCTTATTTCATTTATGTATCTGTTTTTAAACAATTGAATTAAAACTTTTCAGTAAAAAAAGAAGACTAGCGAGGTTTCCAACAGACGCAACCATGCTCATTTACTATAGCAGACATCTTGTTTCAGTTTGTTTTCATGTAAACTTATTGCAGATTCAGGGGAAGCCACTCTATTTTACAAATGGCTGCTGTTTATATAGTATAGCAAATCTTGCTCGCAAACACTGCTGTTTAAAGTTAATTTCTGGGCTATATTTATATGTTTAGCCATTGATTTAGGTTTTTATTCATTTATCTATAATATTTGACACAAATATATCACAGTATACTTGTTAAAGCCTTGACAATGAGGTAACTTTTTCGTACATTACTAGCCGCGGGCGATTTTACGTACCTAAAACGATAGATTACCCTGAATTGAGTTTAGTTAAATTTAGATTTTGTTATCCCCCTTTAGTTTTGAACCCGTTTAATTAATTTTTTGTCACTAATCAAACATCTAATTAAATTAAAAAATAAACAGACTTGTGGAACATATATGGAAAGTTTAAACAAAATTGCTGCATTAAAAGTGGGTCAAAATTGAGTTACAAGATTTGCAACAAACCCACAAACAAACAGATGTTGTGAACTAAATAAAAGCTTGTAAAAATAGTAGTCTATAAAGGGATGCTTTTTATAAGCATACTCACTGTCTGAGGATTAACTGGTACCTTGAAAACATTTGAGGAAGTTGATTCATTATTTCCTTCATCCTCCTGTTCCTCTGCTATTGTATCTGTAAAAGTTACTTGTTGATGCTCTAATTCTAATGTTCCTGTTTCATCACTGTTAGAACTGCAATATTTCATTACAGAAATTTTATTATCTTAATAAAAATCCATTTCAAAGACAGAATTAATTTATAATCTATATATATAATTCTCTTCTTCGAGCCGTTAGAAAACAAGCTGCAAACGCTCTCCCTACCTCCCCACCCCTACATGGTTTTAGTGAGCTGTGTTCACTCTAAATGTTTACAAGCAGAGCCAACGATTTTAAACGTAGGGGGGGGGGGAGGGGGGGGGGGGGGGAAGGAAGGGGGGGGAGGGGGTTATGGTCCTTAACGAGCTACTTATAGTGTTTTAAAGAAATATTTTCAGTGGCAGCGTTGGTACTGCCGAATTCACAAATTATGAATTATTGAAAATTAGAAACAACTAAATAGCGGCGTATGTTATGCCGCGGGCCGGCTCGTGTTATTTAATTCATTAAATAAAAAATATGATTATGCTAATATTTTCATTAAAATGCAACTGATTTTAGCACAATTATCTACAGATATTCTGGTTTTCTTTTAATACCCTTCTCCTCAAAAAAAAAAAAAGACATCAACATTAAATAAGATAAAATGTAGACAATTAAACCATTAGAAATGCTAACCTTACTTATGTGTGCAGGTATAATTAAAAACTGAACAATTGAAAGATAGTTGCACTGAAACACTGGACCGCTATTTTTGCTAAATCCAGAGATTGTACTTTTCTGTTTTCTACTGAAATCCAATTTTCCAGTTTAAAAGAAAATATACACTAAAATTGCTAAAATAGATGGTAATAAAATCAAGTCTTACCTTTTCAGCTGTCCAACCATAGAAACCCTAGCAGATTCTAAATTCATTATTTGTCCACTTCTTACTCTGTTAATATAATTATAATTAAATCTATAAATAATTTACAAGCAATGTATGTTCACAATTAAATACATGTATATGACACTGCCAAAGCCAGAAATCTCTGCCAAAGTGTGAACTAACTGGCTAAATCAGGAAGTGATTAATATCACTACACATTGACCAATGCACAATCTTTCATTAATTAGGAAAATTGGCCAGCCAGTTTGCTATAATGGCACAGAGTAAATATTCAAAGATAAAATAAGAAGGTTAAGGGCAGATGCTGTTGGTTTGTATACTGATATAATAATCACATTAGGCTCTTGTGGGGAAAAGTTGGAACTTTTGAATTAGACAGCAGTTTTTTATTGTTACACCTGCAGTGACTTGTTGAGCTTTTGTTGGAGCAATACATGATGTTTCGTAGCCCATAGATGCTACTGATAGCAGTTTCTTGTGCACTACGGATAACTTACTTCTCCAATACAGTAGTTTGAAACATCATGTTCTGTTCAAACATTTTACAAAGTCCCCTTGATGTTCCTGACAACTGCAAGGACACATGGTCACCATAAAGTTCCCTTTTTCAAACCTGACGGTCTATAGGGCAAGTGAAGTAGAGTTCACTTGTTTCTGTGACCTCTGCATATGAAGAGATAGTGTGTTCAGCACTATGCCCAGCCGCCTTTACTTTCCTTAACCTGAGTTAGGTACCCATCAGAGTTGGGTGCACTCAGGGACGGTCTACTGATTTGAACCCGGATTAGAGCTCGAGACTTACGGGTTAGCAGCCCAGCTCTCTACCGCTAGACCACTCCGTTACATTGGTCACCTTAAGCATGGTCAATTTCTGATAAATGGATGGGAAATTTTTCTCTAACTTATGGGTCAGAATTTTAACTTTTTAACATCTTGCCACCTTGAATTAACAAACTGCTGGGGCAGCTAACCACTTGTTCCTGATTTCTTGTTAATTATGACATGACTATCTCTCAACATCCAAGATATGGATTAAAAGTATTTGCTTCTGTTTTATTTGTTTGATCGAATGTATTTTGAGTCTAATGTAAAAAGGACAGAATGACAAGAGTAGAGGGACGGAGCATAGAATTGTGGCAAGACAGAGCTTTGTATTAGTCTAGTTGATGACTAGTAGCATTAAATAGATGGCTGTATAACAAATAGAAGTATTGTCCAGGATTATTCATATTAATTATTAGTATGCATGGAAATAATTCTGATACCATCCACTTCACTGAAGATAATTTAGTATAGTTTACATAGTTCAAGATCCCATTTCAGTGTCAATGTGAGAGCAGTCTGCTCTCATTCTTGGTATCTGTACCCATTTCCATAGTCTGACAACTAATTAAATGAGAGTTCTTTTTTTTAACTCAAAATTTAGATGGTATTTGTTCCGAAAAGTTTTTAGTTTAATCTCAGTTGCATGTGTGATGTTCTGACTTATGAGCCGTACTTGTTGATGCTAAACACATTACTTTTAAACATTCTTAATTTGGTAGATAGGGTTATCTTTCCATTTTCAAATAATTAGTATTTACAGATAAATAGTATTAATTTTCAAAACAATCACTATTGGTTCAAATAGAATTACAAGAAAAAAAGTTCAGGAAAGTTCTCATCAATAATGCTTTTTGGGATTAGAGCCTTAGTCCACACATCTTGAATACTCAAAACTTTATTTGCCACTGACCATTTGCGCTGTCAGTTATTTATTGATATAGTTCCATTTTTAGAGAAGTGTGTAAAACAAATATGTGCAACATTTTGCTATTCAACCAAAAAAATTAATTAAAAATATACATCAAGATGTTATAATATAACAAAATGCTACTGATATTTAGGCCTAATGTGCCAACATGATACCCCTAACACATAAAACAAACAAAAGATAATGTTTTAAATGTTATGTTTGTTTACCTAAAGCATATAAAGTATTATCTGACATTAATAAAATTTTTAAAGATGAATTTTAAGACATAATAAGTTAACCTACGCCCATTCAATAGCCTTCTCAATTGTCTCAAATGATTTAGGTCTTCCCCTTAGAAATGACTGCATACTTGCCAAAGCCTCCAAGGCAGTACCTTAAAAATAAAAACGTGTTAAAAATATTGGAGGTATTGAAATAAAAATTTATAAAACACGTTTTAGTAACAAACTTTTATATAATTACTAGCGTGCCCGTCCCTGCGGCAATGCGCGGGGAGAGAAGTAAGTCTGGCGAAATATATAAGAAGGGTTTTATTTATGCGTTCATCATCATCATTCCTTTGTGGCCCCTGGAGAGCAAAGGGCTGCAACCACACATCTCCATCAGACTCGGTTTTGGGCTGCCCCCTTTATCTGTGCCCATGTGAACCCAGCTGTTTTCACCTCTTCTTCAACCGATCTTCTCCATGTCTTCCTTGGCCAGCCCACCCTCCTTTTTCCCTGGTGATTCCTGTCCAAAGCATGCTTTGCGATGTTTTCTTTTTCTTTTCTTAATGTGTGTCCGTTCCATCCCCATTTTCGGGCCTTGATATCTGTCTCTATTTGCTGTTGCTTTAAAGTTCGCCACAGGTCTCTGTTTGATATTTTGTCTGGCCATCTTATTTTAAGTATATGTCGTAAGCATTTGTTTACGAATGCCTGAAGCTTATCAGTATTTGTCTTCGTGACCCTCCAAGTCTCCGAGCCATAGAGCAGCACTGCCTTGACATTTGTGTTGAAAATCCTAATTTTGATCCGGAGTGACAGGGCCGTGGACCTCCACATCGGGCGCAGTGAGTTGAAGGCACATCTAGCCTTGTTGATACGGCATTTTATGTCCTCGTCTGCTCCCCCGTCCTTATTGATCACGCTTCCCAGATATGTGAATGTATTTGTTTCACGTAAATCTTCTCCATTTAGCTGTATGGGCAGGTCCTGGCTGTTATTGATTCTGATGACCTCTGTTTTATTTTTATTGATTTTTAGTACAACTTTGGAGGCTTCTTCAGATAGCCGATTTTGTTTGGCTTGCGTATATTGATGCTTGTGAGATAGTAGGCAGATGTCATCGGCAGAATCAAGATCCTCCAGCCTTTTGGTGAAACTCCACTGGATTCCTGTGTCGTTTTTTGTGGTTTTCAGCATGATCCAGTTGATTACCATCAAGAATATCATTGGCGATAGCATACATCCCTGTCTTACTCCCGTCGTCACCGTGAATGGTTTTGTTAGTTTTCCCTTGTGTATTATTACCTGACTGGTGGAGTCTTCATATAGTTTCTGTGTGATAGATATAAATTTTTGGGGTATTCCATAGTAGCTCATTAGCTTCCAGATAAAATCTCTATTCACACTGTCAAACGCCTTTCCGAAGTCGACAAAAGTCATGTATAGGGGGATTGCCACTCGAGGGACTGTTCAATAATGATGCGTAGCGTGGCAATGTGGTCAGTACATGACCTGTCTTGGTGGCAATGTGGTCAGTACATGACCTGTCTTGACAAAAACCAGCATGTTTTTGTCACAGCTTTTTGTCCAAGCCATCTCTAAGTCTCTCTAGGATGATTCTTGTCAGCACCTTACTTGGAACTGAAAGAAGCATTATCCCTCTCCAGTTGTTGCATTGTGTCAGGTTACCCTTCTTTGGCAGTTTTATCAGGTATCCCAGTTTCCAGTCAGATGGGATTATTTCTTCTCAAATCTGCTTAAGTAGAGGATGCAGTATGTCTGCTGATATGGCTGGGTCTGCTTTTGAGTAATTTCCGTTGACCGGAAGTAGTAATTTATACTATTTCCGATTTCTAAAAAAAAAAAACTAATATGAATTTATAAAGTACTAATATTCCACACTATTATACAAATATTGTTTACTTGGTGCGGAATTCTTTTTTTTTTACGAGATTCTATTCTATTTTTAAAAGTTTAAGTAATTAAAATTTGATTAAAATTATTTCTATATCCTGAGTTGCCATCCCCCGTAGTGTTATATAAGAATATTTGAGAAAGTTTAGGGGAGATCACTCCCGCTTTATTACTTTCTCGTTTACAAAGTATAGAGGAAGTAATGTAATCATGAAAGAAAAAATAAAAAGCGAGATTTTTAAAAACCTCAAAGTTTTACATGCTCAAGAGTCGGACAAACTTAAGTTTAGCAATTTTATCTGTATGTCTGTGTGTGTTTCTGTCAGTCTGTGAACACAATAACTTGAGTACCTTTACAGTTAGGTTGATGAAATTTCATATTTAACTATTATATCAAATTTGTAGTTCTGTATCCACTTGACAGCAAATTCCACTAAATGGAAACTTATTCTACTTTCGGTTTTTCAAAAGCCTATACCTTTTTCTGATAGACATATACACATACATATATATATATATATATATATATATATATATATATATATATATAATACTAGCCGTCCCGGCCAGGCCCTGCTCTGGCTTCTGTGAAAAACCCTTCTGTTAAAGACCATCACCTGTGTGTTTAGTAATCATCATAAACCATGCATTGCCCACCCAAACCACAACCAACCAAAACCAAAACAACAAAACGCAAACATAACGCTAACACAATTACAAATACAAACGAAAACAAAAACCTAATAACAAACCCAACCACAACCACAAACACCAATACAAACACAAAGAAAAAACAAACAAAAAAGCAAACGAAAACAAAAACCTAACAACAAACCCAACCACAACCACAAACACCAATACCAACCAATAACAACACACAAAAAAACGAAAAAGCAAACGAAAACAAACCAAATCCAAACGCAAAACCAACCAAAACACAAATACAAACCCAAAAAAAAAAAACACAAACAAAAACGAAAAAAGAAAGAACAAAAACGAACCAAATCAAACCGCAACCACTAACGCAAACCCAACGGAATCACCTGTTTTAGCTTAATAAACGACTATAGTACCCCAACTTATTCATAGTCTTTTGCACTCACTTAAACGAACGTGCCTGTTTCAATTTAATGAACAATTTTAATACTCCAAGCTTATCCGTAAAATACCTACAACATTTGCACTTGATCAATCCCCGCTAATTATGTAATTATTTTTTTCCCCAACACCAAATAATAAAAAGTAAATTCTTTTCCACTAATGCAATGTTTTATAAAGGGAAGTAATTGTGTTTTCCTAATTTATCAAAGGGAAGTGAGTGCTAAAGGACTAAATATAAATAATATATATATATATATATTGATATATATATATATATATATATATATATTGATATATATCAGGGGTCGGCAACCTTTTGAAGCGGAAGAGCCAAAAGTTACAATTTTCAAAATTTCCCTGGTTTTAAAGAGCCACTAACATTTTTTAAATTTCAAATATATTATTTTTTTATTAAGATTATTAGTATTTGTGCAAGGAGCTGAAGAGCCGCATCTTGACATCAAAAGAGCCCCATGCGGCTCGTGAGCCGCACGTTGCCGACCCCTGATATATATATATATATATGTGAAATTTCATTTATAAGTAAAAGATCTATTTCTCTGTTTTCTTCAAATTTTATGTAATTTCAGGTGACTGGAAGTAGTACTTTTAGCTCTTTCTGATTTCTCAAAAAACGCATATTAAATTTATTTTTAAGTTGCTTCCTCTGTATATTGTCCGTCACTTGCGGAAAATTTCGAACAAAATATCGAACATTTCCACCTGACCGAGTAATTTTATACTTTTCATATTGTGACATAAAATGTTACTTAATTAGATGATTAATTAACCTTTTGAAAATTAATTAAATTTTTCTTTATTAAGTACTAATGTTCTGCACTATAATACACACATTGTTTGCTGTTGATTTGGTGCACATTTCTTTTTTCAACGAGGTTCTATTCTACTTTTAAAAATTGAAGTATTTAAAAGTTGATTTTAAAAATTGCACAAAAAAACATTTTAATAACAAGCTTTTAAGTAATACTGCACTAAGAAGGGGAAAATAAATTATTTTCTTTTAGCCTATATATTATAATACTCAACTATTTAAATAAATGAAAATTGTGCGTCACAATAACATGTATTTGATACTTTTACTAATATTGATAAACTTACCTTCCACTACATCAATCACTGCAAGACCAACAAGATTACCAATAAGGTTTCTTACAGCAGTATGTACAGCAATGGCACCTCCCATACTAAAATTAAAAAAAACAAGTAGCACTGAAATTTTTGTATAGATATACAAGATGCTAATTAAAAATACTGCATCCATTTCACCTAAAATTATATTTTCTAATAATTGTCAAGGGTTGATTAAAGAGTACTGATCACAACTGCATTGGTTTAAGTTCATTCTTATTTTAATTAATAGCAGGTAGTACCTTGCTAGGAAACATTTTCCAATTTTTTCCAGAGAAATACTATTTCTTGACTGAGTATAAGACTTTTCTATTGAAATAAATAAGACAATGTCTACTACTGTCTGCCTACTTAACTTTAAAATTCTAAAATTTGTCTATTACTATCATTATGATTAATAATGTATGTAATTTGTATCCACTTCAAGACCTCACACAAATAATAATTAGTTATATAATTGAGCAAAGCCAATGAAAAGAAGTGAAATCAAACAAGAACACCAAACCTAAGAGTATAGGAGAGATTAGGAGAACAGTGTTGATTCAAATTTATCCTTACAGAAGGATTAACTATGGAGCAATGGCATCAGCGTAAGAAATAATAGTGGGCCAGCTTGATGGCACTTGCATTAACCAGTTTATAAGACGAATACATCAGCATACTACTTACAGTGAAAAAAGGCAAAACCAACGTTGAATAGTTCAGATGCTATTCACATAAGAAGAGTTAGTAAGTACATCAGTTTTCAAACATAAATATTTGGTACTTTGCATCATGCCATCTGCTGGTACTATTAAAAATATAACCAACTACTTCATATAAATACACCTTTTTTAAATATAAATTTGGTACATTTACCTATGGCCTACAAGTATGATAGGTGGAAATTCTTCTTTGTACAGACTTGTAATTATATTTGCAACATCACTGAAATTTTAAAATGTGATGAAATAATGAATAAACTCCATTTCTGAATTAGAAGTTAATAAATCATGAAAAATATAAAGTGCATCAATGAAACAAACTTTAAAAAGAGTATGTAGGTAGTAAAGCTCCTATTTACACACAGCGATCCATTGGGCAGATTAAGTAAAATTCATGTTTCTTGACCTGAGCTTATAAAAGGGATAGTGTGGTCAGCACAGTGCACCGCCAAACGACCCAGGACAAAACTACCCTGTCACAGACATGCCTACCCCTGTCAGCCAAAAGTAGGAACAGTCATGCCTAAAAAGAGGAATTTGTAGCCAAAAAGAGGAACTTAAGCGTGGACGCTACTTTACTAAGTCAAAAACAAACAAAAAATTAATTAAAAATTACTCTAATGATATTAGTTAGGCTTCTAGTCATATATATTAACTAGTCTCTAGGCTACATTTACATACTGCTTAATGTGAGGTTACATTTAAAAAAAAAGTTAACCAGTAACCTGAGACCCCCCCCCCCCCCCCCATAAAAACATTAGCTTTGACTTAACATTATTGATTTGATTATTTATGCCTTGCTATGTTCTAGGCTATATAAATAACAAATGCTGAAGGCTTCATCATATGTAATATATATTATATGTTAAGAGCAAAGACCCTTGATCTACCTAGTAAAAGTCCTAGACCTAGTTACTTCTTACCAAGTTTTTCATAATAGTAGTTACTAGTTAAGTTACAACTTACAAGATAAGATCAGTGTTCACTATTTCAGTATCTACTAGTAGATCTAGTTACAATTCTAGATCTATAGTAGTAGATATACTACTAGCTAGATCTAGTATTAGATGATACTTGTAAATATTGTAAGTAAACTAGGAAACAGAAACGTATTCCAAAGGGAGAAAATCGCTTTACCCTGCCTTTTTAAAAATTTACTTTATTACCTTTCGTTATTAATTATTTTTTTCAAAAAAATCAGAACAAACTGAGTCAAAATCGGAATGACGGAACAAATTATTTTTTAGGTGAAAAAGCGGGATGGTTCAGATTTTGGCGGGACGGTAGGCATGTCTGCTGTCAATATGACTCCATCAAATCGACCCCCGACAAAACAACCCAGTCAAAATAGCCCCCTCAAAAATGCCTCGACATATTGACTCCCAACAAAATGGCTTCCGACATATTGGCTCCAGACAAATGGGCTCCCAACACATTGGCTCCCGACCTTTGGCTCCTGACAAATGGGTTCCCGACATATGTATTGTATGACCACTATTGGCATAAAAGTTAAAAGTAACCATTTTGTCCTACCTCTGTTACTGCTATAACCTCTTTTAAAAATATCAAATAACTGATTCATGAATCAACAGCAATTCACAAAAAAAATCGAGCCCTTAACATCTAAATTCCACCAATTATAAAAGTCTGATAATGTAAAATTTACAACAGTGAAGATCTGTTGCTTAAAAGCGAGCACACAACTTTAAATATTTGAGATATATGATGTTTAAAGGATAAGAACATATTGCAGGTAAATGTACAATTTGTACCTCTCTCCCCAAACACTGAGTTGGAACAGCCTACAATCGACTCTTTTGATGGAAGTCATAGCTAAGTGACCCTTAAATTTAAAACATTATTTCTTACGAGCCGGCCCGCGGCATAACATACGCCGCTATTTAGTTGTTTCTAATTTTCAATAATTCATAATTTGTGAATTCGACAGTACCAACGCTGACACTGAAAATATTTCTTTAAAACACTATAAGTAGCTCGTTAAGGACCATAACCCCCCCCCCCCCTTCCTTCCCTCCCCCCCTCCTCCTCCCCCCCCTACGTTTAAAATCGTTGGCTTTGCTTGTAAACATTTAGAGTGAACACAGCTCACTAAAACCATGTAGGGGTGGGGAGGTAGGGAGAGCGTTTGCAGCTTGTTTTCTAACGGCTCGAAGAAGAGAATTATATATATAGATACTAGATAAAATAATATTAAAAAAAGGCCTATCAAACAAGAGATGAATACGTTGTATTACTTTAAAGTGTTCGCTAAGCTAACTCTAAAGAGTATTGATGAAGTTGGGAGTCGCAATAACAGAAGTCATTTTGTCGAGAGCCTAAATGACAAGAGCCTATTATTCGGGAGCCTTGTTGATTGGAGCCCTTTTGTCTGGGCCTTATGTGAAGGGGTCTATTTGTTGTCGGCACTGGGTCGATTTTACGGGGCTCGTTTTGGCAGGGCCATTTTGACACTGCATGGGTCAGCAGTACGCCCAGGTGCCTTCACTTTTCCTAACAAAAGTCAAACCACCAGAGCTGGGTGGACTCTGGGACATCATAAGCAAGATCCGAACTCAAGATATTCAGGCTAGCAGCCAAATGCTCTACCATTTGACTCGAGATATATATATATATATATATATATATATATATATATATATATATATATATATATATATATATATATATATATATATATATATACTAGCTGTATTCGACTTGGCATATATATATATATATATATATATATATATATATATATATATATATATATATATATATATACTAGCTGTATACCCATTCCCCCCAATGGGTAATCCTTTTTAAATGTGCCAAAAAAAAAAAGAAAAGAACATAACTAAACACAAAAACAAACAAAAAAGAAAACGCAAACACAATGCAAACACAAACGTAAAATTAAAAAAAACAACACAAAAGTAAACACAAACACAATGGAAACACAAAAGAAACCGCACTATGGCGCCTATGTTAGTTTTAAGGAGCCAGGGGCCCTACCCGGAGCCTCTGCGGTAGTGTAATCCGGGGCTCCCGAGACGCCCCTCTAAGTCCTTTACACATGGGCGGACACCGAAGTGTGTTCTACCTCATTTTTTCGGTGAGTGATTAATGTACACTGAAGGATTTCATGTGGTAGTGTAGATAAACCCGTGTCCCGATATTTACAATCTAAGCGCAGACATTGTTTACATTTAAATAACCCAGTTTTAGAAAAAAGGTCACATATCTAAGAATATATGATTGGTAACGCACTTATGAAACGCTTCTTATATATTTCGTCAGACTTTCTTCTATCCCTGCGAAGGGATGGGCACGCTAGTCTATCTATATAAAAAGCAATGTATATGTGTCTGTTTGTTTGTCTGTCTTTTATACCTTACTACACCTTTCATCTGATCGCAATGAAACTTTGGGAAGTTGTTGAGAATACTCCTGCTGAGGTTTCTGCGGAATTTTTTTCTTCAAATTCGCAGGGGTGGCGCACTGGCAGGACATGATTTGTTTTTCTCTATATATAGTATACAAAAATAAAAGTCGATTGCGGTTTGACAGCGTTCATCCTATTGCTGTTTAACTTTGTGTAGTTGATATGAACACTCCACAAGAGGTTTCAACAAAAAAATAATTTAAGATAATTTAATTAATATAGTTATTTAGTATGCAGTTCACATCATACAGCAAAGAAATATAAGAATTTTTTCAAGTATTAAAGTATACTGTTAATTAGTTTTGGATCTTGTGGTTCATTGAGCAGATAAAGAAACTTTAGACTTTTGGAATAGTGTTCATGCGCTCCAACCTCACCATGCTGTCGTACCAACATGTATTAAATGGGTTAGATAATCAAATAAAAATAAACTGGGAGTGATCTCCCCTAAACTTTCTCGAATATTCTAATATAAAATTACGAGGGATGGCAACTCAGGACATAGATCCATTTTAAATTATTTAAACTTTTTATAATAGAATAGAATCTCGTAAAAAAATAGAGTTGCACACCAAGTGAAAAGTTTCCCTTTCAAACCTGACGGTCTATGGGGCAAGTGAAGTAGAGTTCACTTGTTTCTGTGACCTCGGCATATGAAGAGATATTGTGGTCAGCACTATGCCCAGCCGCCTTTACTTTCCCTAACAGGAGTTAGGTACCCATCATAGTTGGGTGGACTCAGGGGCGGTCTACTGACTTGAACTCGGATTCGAACTCGAGACTAGCGGGTTAGCAGTCCAGCTCTCTACCGCTAGACCACTCCGTCCCACACCAATTGAACGCCTAATAAAATGTGTATAAAAGTGCGGGATATTATTAGTACTTTATAAATTTACATGCATTTTTTGAGAAATCGGAAATAGCGTAAATTAGTACTTCCGTTCAATGGAAAGAACTCAAAATTTGACAGAAGGTAGAGAATTAGATTTTTTAACTACGTGTGAAATTTCATACATCTATCTAAAATAGTACGCAACTTATAGGCTTTTGAAAAATTCAAAGTAGAAAAAGTACCACTTCCGGTTATCGGAAATCGCTCAAAAGTTGATCAGGATCTACAATTTTGATAAAATACGTATATATGAAATTTCATCAACCTAGCTGTAACGGTACTCAAGTTATCGTGTTTACGCACAGACAGACACACAGACATACGGACAGAATTGCAAAGTCCAGTTTTTAAGACTCGATAACGCATAAAACGCCAAAACATTTATATATTTGTATTTATAATTTTTGCCTGATTAAAATAAGTCCTCTATACTCTGGATGTGATGAAGGACTGAGGAGTAAAACGGTGAAAACTGTCCAAATTTCATGTTATTTTTGTGCACGATTACAATACTTTCTCTATACTTCGTATATACGAGAAAGTAAAAAAGAAAAATTCTTGCTTTTTAATGATTAAAATCTTGATTTTACATCGAAAAAGGTGGTTTTATATTAGCAATAATATTAAGTATTGTATAAGTGCAGGGTAATACTTAAATCTATATACAAAATACAGATTGTCATTTATTCAAATATCTCATGTAGAAAAAAAGTGGAGTTGTTAAAATTTATACGTATTGCACTAAACAATTATCTGTAGATATCATTATTAAATTAAAAGCATTGGTTGCAAAATTAAAAAAAAATTTTTTAAGAGCAACAAACATTTTTTTTTTATAAATAAAGAAACATGTTTCCAATTAATTATAATGAGGATTTTAAATAACTTTTTAGTATTTTGATTTATAAAGATATAAGAGCCCTAATAACTGCTTAATGTGTACAGACAGATGAATTACAAATCTACTTTACCTGGACATTTGCTCAGCACTTAAATTAGAATCATCTGATGTTGTGCTATCACCTGTAACAATAAAACTAAAATTAAATGTGTACTATTGATACTCATTTAGTATGTTATAATTTTACATTTCTATGTAACTTTTATAAATACACAGTAAAGTAATAAGCAGTGTTTCTTTCAGACTTTTCTCTGGGGGTGAGGGGGGGGAAGGGGATGATGACGTATATCTATTTTCCATATAAAAATTCTATTTTGTTCAGGGAGGGAGGTAGACTTTCTTATTCTGGCGGGGGGGAGGGGGGGGGGGGGGCGCGGCACTAATCCTTCCCCCCCCCCCCCTTGAAGAAATGCCTGGAAGAAACTCTGGCAATAAGATATGTTAAGGGTCATATAATAACATGAAAAGTTTTAAAAGCAGAATTCTTGTACCGCCATGTCATCCCCCCCCCCCCCCCCCCCCCCCCCCCCCCCCAGGAGTAAAAAAATTCTGGAAGAAATAGTTTAAAACACAAACATGAATAGCTAACTGTTTCTCTCTCTCTCAAATGGACAAAATAAAAACTCGACTTTATCGCCATTGTGTAATATTTTTAAAATGTTGATTTTTGTATTAAAATCAAAATAGATGTTTAGAAAACTCAATATTGATCGTTTTCAAACTAAATTATCATTTATCATCATTAAAATTATTATTTTAATTGACCTAATGGGCAAAGAACAACAGGGCCTGGACTGTGTGTATATCTGTATATATATATATGTGTATTTATATATATGTATATACATATATATATGTGTGTGTATATGTGTATATACATATATCTATATGCCTGTATATATGCCTGTATATATGTATATATATATATATATATATATATATATATATATATATATATATATATAAATATATATATATATATATATATATATATATATATATATATATATATATATATATATATACATAGTCTATATCTAATATATAAAGCTCAATTCTATATGTAACATGTAATAAGTTTGTTTGTCGTGGACATACTTCGATGGATTTAAGTGTTAGATTATTATAGTGCTCATGGTCTAAATTTATGAGTTAAAAAATTACTATTGAAAGTCTTTAAAAACAATTTTCATTTTATATACTTAGAATAATAATTTTCAATTATGAACATTACATAAAATTTTTAAAAAGTGTATCAACGTTTATAAAATTTCTAAAATTGTGTCTGAAATGTATTGACTACACAGTTACTTCCCTTTAAAAAACCATTAAATCGGGGGAAGAAAGAATTTACTTTTTATTACTTTGTTTTGGTGTTAAGAAAAAAAATAATTACATAATTAGCGGGGATTGATTAAGTGCAATGTCGTTGGTATTTTTAATACTGCCTTTTATTTATTCTATACACTGAACATACTGTTCACTAATTATTTTTTTATATATATGTTTATTTCTTTCCATTTACAGATAAGCTTGAAGTATTATAATTTTGTTCACTAAATTGAAACAGGCGCATCCGCCGGCGCCCCTGTGCGGTTCGATTTGGCGCCCTGGGCTATCATGTGAGCGCTATGTTTTAAACAGTGCGATAGACTATGGATAAGAAAGGTTACTATAGTCTTTAAGTGAATCAAATCCGGGTGTCCTCCGGACCCCGACAGGGTGCTATTTGGCGCCCCGGGCCTTCCCGTGTACGCTGTAGTACCTACGTTCGCGTAAGTGAGTTCAAAAGACTATGAATAAGTTGGGTACTATAGTCGTTTACTAAGTTGAATCAGGCGGTTACGCCGCACGTCGTCATTGTGCGACTTGGCGCCCCAGGCTAGACTGTGGACACTTTGAGTTTATCTTTGCGTTTGTGTTTTCTTCGTGTTTTAGTTTGGGTTTGCGTTTGTGGTTGTGTTTGGATTTGGGTTAGTTTTCGTTTGCTTTTTTTCTTCTTTGCGTTTGTGTTTTCTTTGTGTTTGCGTTTGTTTTTGTGTTTTTGTTTGTGTTTGCGTTTGTGTTATGTTTGTGTTTTTTTTGTGTGTTTTGGTTTTGTTTGGTTGTGGTTGGGTTTGTTTTCGGTTGCTTTTTTGTTTGCGTTAGTGTTTGTCTTTTCTTTGTGTTTGTGGTTGGGTTTGTCTTTGCGTTTGTTTTTGTGTTTTCGTTTGTGTTTGTTTTGTGTTATTGTTGTGTTTGCGTTTTTTGTGTGTTTTGGTTAGTTGTGGTTAGGGTGGGCAATGCCGGATAAATGCTGAATACTAAACACACAAGTTATGGTCCTTTACAGATACGTTTTTCAGAGATGCCAGTGCAGGGCCTGGCCGGGACGGCTAGTATGTATATATATAAACGTGTGTGTGTATATATATGCAGTGGCGTAGCCAGGATCGTCTCATGAGGGGGGAGGGGTTCAAATTTTTTCCATCATTATATATATATCATTATATATATATATATATATATATATATATATTAGCTTATACCCATGATTCGCCACGGTGTGGATATGGATTTAACCTCAGAGTTTACCGCGCTGTGCACTGGTGCGGGCCCCCATATAAAACTTGCAAGGAATTGTTTAATGACATTTTAAAAAAATTAGTAAATGTGAATTGTATAGGGAGATATTGAGCAATGCTTTATTTCCATTGTTTGTAAACTCACTACCCTCCTGCTATCTTGAATATTAATAAAAATTGCTGCTACAATTTAATTTTATTGCAAAATATTTAAGGTTATAAAATTGTAACAAATTTTTGAAAGACATGATTCCCGCTACATTTTATAAATAATCCATACTTTGTCGTATTAAATTTCGTTATGGTTTGTGCGTGTGAGGGGGGGGGGGGGGGGGGAGGAGGAAAGGGGTATGCAATACTAAACATTTATATAGAGGCAATGTGGTCTAAGGAGGTGTTACGTAATGTAACTTAATGAGGTAGGAGGACGACATTAATCCCCTCATGTTAATTACGCCTGAGTCATTTCACTATTGTCATTATCCTTGGATAACACCCTGTCAATTAACCCACCTCCAAGAATCCTACTCCAGCCCAAAATCTGCAGTAAAACATTACCTATCGTCTGACAATTACCAAAATGTTAGGGTAATGGCGACGGTAAAGATAGAACATAATAGAAAATAGAAACAGGGTGAAGGTTCAGTTTATGCTTTTTTTGGAACAAGGGCAGCGATTGGGATATGGCTATGGTGAAATACATGTATTGTTATTGGTTTACTTGTCTCTAAAGGCAGATAAAGATGTGGGGTGGTAACTGAGAGGAGGTAATTGATCTGGGGGCTTACGACTGGGAAGGGGTTTTGGTCTGTACATCCTAGACCTGGGTAAAAGCATGTCACATTATTTTAAAAATTAGGTTTAATTTTAGTTATATGCATATTAATTACATTCTTAAAACTTTAGTTAGGTTTAATCTTCTAGTTGATTCTGTACATATTATTTAACATTTAATAGGTACTTGTGGCTTTTATTGTTGTAATTGATAATCAGTATGTTGTTTGTGTGCTTTTACAGGTCAGCTGTAGGTTAGATTAGAATACGCTAAAATAGTCCAGAACACAGGGGAGAGCCGTGTGTGAGTTGAGTTAACCCGGGGTGATTAGGTATAGTTATCCAAAGGTTGGGTGGGGTATAAAAGCTGGAGTGAACGATTGTAAGGGACTGGTTGGTAGCTGCAAGGGGCGAAGGCTTGTGGTGTAATGGTGAAAAGGACAAATTAAATCAAGGTTTGAACAGTGCCTTGAAACGTGTTCCTAGTTAAACGCAACATGTGCAACGTTTTTCGAAACCTCTTATATTTTTAAATTTAATTTTTTCTGTTTACATCCATATTACACCATGAAATTGTTAGCAATGGCGGTGTAAAACACTTTGTAAAAAACATATCTGCGTTCACATTTAAATTTAGACATGGCTACAAATGGCTTGAGCATAATACATATATATATATATATATATATATATATATATATATATATATATATATATATATATATATATATATATATATATATAAAGCAATGTATGTGTGTGTGTC